GTTTACGAGGTGAACTATACAATAGCGAACCTATTTATGCAGTGATAAAATGCAACGGATTTGCACACAACTACGACGGACAGTTATCGACTGTCCCATAGCCGTGACGAGCAATTAACTTGATTAGCTACAGAAGGGAGACGACGCCAGATGGCTTAAGTTCACTTTAGTTTGCTTAAGCCATAGGAAAATATGAGACGCTTTTGGCAATTTTTCTTGGTGAACATACCACATTGTTAACCTAAGCGACCAACCACTTCTGAGAAACGAGGGAGATTGCTTAACGAAATTCTCCACCACGTTGATCATATCTGAACGACACCACTGTGGTAGACGATTCAATCTGACCGACTTAATGTGCAGATGTTAGTTCACTATGGAATGCGATCGGGCGAGAGAAATGTATCTTACTCTTCGGAGAATAGACCAAATTGACCGAATCGCATTTCAACCATCAACTGTTTACTTTCGAATGCGGTCCTACGGGCTGCGTCACAAAAACCACCGACAATCTGCTCGCGATCAACCATGTGATCTGATACAGTTTATACCCTGAGGAGGTCCAAACGTGGAATCAACTGAACATTTACACACCGGTTCACTAAACAGGATGCCTCCGAGGATTTAGTTCATCCGTCCGATCAATGAGCGAAAAACATCCATTCGCAACACTGATAGTGGGGAAATTAATAATGCATTAAACCAGACAAAACAACAATCCTCATTCAAGGCGTATATTGGAAATCACCAAGTTATTGTATCCGTATCTGTGTTCATTAGAGTGGACTCGATAATGAAATGCGGGAAGATAGAGGACAGAGCGAAAGTAATTAAATCCGAAGTCAAATGAATTCCAGAATGCATAAAATTGCCTATGGAAAAGCAATAAAATAGTTTATTCCAACCAGTGCCGGTTTTATTTTCGTCTGCACTGTCAGTCGGTAATTACAGGATTGCTGTTTAAGGCGAAGTAAATCATTTCAAACATCACCGGCCAACGCAGTGCTTAAAACTGACTAGAATTTCACACAGACCAAGGTTTATATATATATATATATATATATANAGAGAGAGAGAGAGAGAGAGAGAGAGAGAAAGAGAGAAGGGATAAGATAACGCAGAGCTAAATTAAGTGTTCTCTAAGTTAATGTATTCTCTTCTTTTCCCGCCTTCAACACCGAGCTTCCTTCAATGTGCTAGCGTCAGAAGAAAGATAACTGCTTTTGGTGGCTGACTGCTTTTGGCATCTGATCACAATGACTAGGATACTACGATCTTTTCAGTTTAGACCTCAAATGGGGACTTTCAACAGATAACGTAAGATAACATCTCCGCCATGTTCTGCGTCATCATCATTCGAGTCGGTGAAACCGCCAGAAATTAACCTAAAGCATTGATCGACAAATCGTCACTGCAAAACAACCAAGAAAAGGTGTACCAACCACACCTACACCTTGACTGTGTATCAGGGTATATCGGGAACGTTGAAATCGATCCAATGGGTGCATGATTTGATGAACTGCATACTGATCCCGCATGGGTTGTGAACTTTGAGGTTATCTTGTTAGATAGACATTTTAGTCAAAAATCTCAAGTAATGGAAGATTTGATCGAATAACACGATAAATTTCACGGTCTACAAATCAAAGGAATCACGAACTGAAAAGCTTGGAAGCACTGGACAGCCAGTTCGACTTGGATGGGTCTCATCAGATGTGTGCTTCCATCGAACAAACTGAGCATCGAACCCAGGACCTCACAGGTAGAAAGTAAGCATACAAACCAATTGAAAACGGGGTAACTGGTCAGTTTGTCTGTACATGATAGAAAACAACCCATCACTGAGGTACAGCGCTTCCTAGCATTTCACTTCACGCTCCATTTGCTCGGTAAACGACAGAATTCACTATATAAACCTCAACTTGGGGGGTTAAGAGAAGTACAACGCCAGCAAATTAAATGTACACCAGCATATGTCGTGGCAGTTATGACAATAGGGCATATGTTGATGGCGTGACTGCGTTTTCATCAGTTATTCATCATCAAGGAAAATAAATAGTTGGATTTCTGGTGCAGAAGTGCACAGAGAGTGCTTTTCTGGCAGTCCGAAGGAAGGAATAACGTGAACATTTATCATGGAACCAAACACCATACGCGCAAACAAACCGAATCGCGAATTGCCAAGACCGTTCCCCGAGCCCAACGAAAGTGGAAAACAATGAAGCAGGAAAATGCAAATGGTAAGATGCACCGCAATGCAGTCCATGTTGAGGCTACATATATGCAAAGGAAGATTCAGAACCAATGCGCGTAAACACGCACGCACACACATTCACATCGTGTAGAGACGGGCAAACAAATGCATTCGATTCGTTATTTATCTCGCCTAATTGCACTGGATGAGCAACGCCACAGCACCAACGATTTTCAAGAAATACATCGAATCGTTCGAGACAATTCACCTGCAACTCAAGGATAAACATGATCGAACAGGAGTAGTATAACCCAAAGGCTAACTAATTTCCACGGCTAGGGTGGATTGACCCAGTGAGTAACTTGGATATAAACCATTGCTTGCTTAAGAATGTTTTGACGGAAAAAATTTCCATAAGCGATAATTATTCACCAGTGAGTAGATATCGCTATTAGGGATAGGTAAAGCGTCCATGGAGCTTTCGTTTGATGCACCGTACCGTGCGAGAAATTGTCTCACCGGGTAAGCGCAGTCGTCCTCTCCTAAACCAACGAACAGATTACGGCAATCGACTTTTTCAGTTCTGAGCAGACCATCATCTGTTCCTAGGAAGCACCAACTTCCGACACAGCTCTCGACGGACGGCAACGTGGCGCTCCATTTCAACTGGTACGCTAACTGAAATCGACCTTATAGCAGCAAGTTATCGTTGGCGTGGCTCAGTGTAAAATTGCAGGTCCTATTGGACCACCTTCGTTCAGTCTAACCACGCATTAGTTTTGATGCAGTTCACTCTTCGGTTGACTGGTCGACGACAAAACCAGCAGACTCGGATAGCTCATCATCGACTATCTGTTCCAGCCGTTCGTGCACTCTTTCAGTCAGAACTAGTGCGTGAGCTAAGCGCGCCTCAACGTGATGATTTAAATAAACAGTGGAGTCAGATTAGACGAGAAATGCATTCCGCTGCGAATGTTGCTTGTGGGACTGAGCCTCAAACACGTCGGAGACATTGGCTATCTGATGAGTCAGTAGCTCTGATGGATCAAAAACGACAAATTCCGACCTGCCGGGATCAAAATAGAGTTAGGTGGCATCTACAACGTCAGCTCACGAAAAGTCTCAAGAAGGACCGTGAGAACTGGTGGGCAACTATAGCTAGTGAAATGGAAGTAGCATCTGCAACAGGGAATAGTCAAAGACTGTTCCGATTGATACGCAATATGGGAGGTCGGCGAACTCCACTTAGTGAAACCGTCTGCGATAAGACGGGACGAGCTATAAACAATAGGGATCAACGACTCAATCGCTGGGCAGAATACTTCAGCGCACAGTTCAGCTGGTCTAGTACGAACCAGACTGCTTCATCTGCAAGTGAAGCTCCGTGGGCAGTGTCATGCGACCCTCCAACAGAAACAGAAGTTCGGTCTTGCATTCAAGCTATGAAGCGAGGAAAGGCAGCAGGATCGGATGAGCTCTCTCCCATTCTCTACAAGGTGGAGGGTGATAACGTCGTAAGCTGTATTACTATCCTACTGTGCAACATTTGGACGCAAGAACACATTCCTTCATCTTGGAGCGAATCAGTGATCGTTCCCATTTTCAAGAAAGGATCTCGCAAAGATTGCGAAAACCACCGCGGGATAAGTCTGATCCCAACAGTCACCAAAGTGTTAGCCTCCGTCACACTTTGACATCTCACACCATTAAAAGAGACGAAAAACTGTGGACAGCAAGCCGGATTCCGTCCTGACTGTGGATGTATTGATCGGATTTCTGCGTTGCATCAGGTCATTAATTTTCGTCATACTCACCGTGGACTAACGATCGCGTTGTTTCTCGATCAGTCGACCGCCAATCTCTGATGAGTTCCCTTCTTCGAAAAGGAATGTCCCAGAATTACGGTAAATTACTGAGGTCACTGTACTTACATGCCTCCGGTCGTGTAAGGGTTTGCAGCGAACTAAGTAGGCTGTTCGTCACTATCAGCGGCGTTCGTCAAGGGTGCCCTCTTTCGCTGTTCCTGTTCAATTTTGTCGTAGACGAAATACTGGAGAACGCACCAAGTGGACTTCAAAACGTCGGTATTGAATGGGCAGCTGGAGAAAAGCTGTGTGATTTAGAGTAGGCTGATGACATCGTCTGTCTGTTCGAATGTATGGAGGACGCGCAAAGCGCATTTGATAAACTAACAAGTGCAGTTGCCACATTCGGTATGTGCTTTGAAACTCCAAAGTGCAAAGTGATGCTGGAGGACTGGGTTTCGTCTACTCCCACCCTGACACTAAATGGCCAGGATTTAGTTGTGGTGGATTGTTTTTCCTACTTAGGTAGTTGCGTGACCAATCACGGTAGTGCAGCAAAGGAGATAACCGCCCGCATTTCCAAGGCTCGAGCAGCATACGCAGGACTGAAACACCTTTGGCGTAGACGCGACGTTTCACTGATGCTGGAAGGTCGTGTGTATTGTGCTAGCGTTCGTTTAGTCCTGCCTTATGGCTGTGAAACCCGGAATTTGCGAGTAGAAGATATCCGTCGACTGGAAGTTTTCGATTATCGGTGTTTACGTAGTTTAGCCCATGTTGGATGGAGCGAACGGGTTAGTAACGTGTAGGTAAGCCGTCGTGTGTTTGGGAGTCTATCAGGTATAAACCTGCTAGCACACGGAATTCAGATTAGTGGACTTCACTGGCCAGGGCACGTATTGTGTCGTCTGCCGCACCACGCTTTATTCGCTGTAGCTAATCCGGGTTGGAGGAAATCGCGTGGAGGCCAACAGATGACGTGAAGGCGAGTCATGAAGAAATGCACAGAGCGATTAGGTGCAGTAGGTGTCTCTCGCCTTCCAGGTTGGGATCCGAACGACTCCACAACTGGTTGGTTGGAGATACTAAAGGATATAGCAGCGAACCGACAGTAGTTGCGTTCTTATCAAATCAGAATGGTTGAAACGGTATGTATGCAGAGTTTGATTGCGTACTCTGTGTTGACCATAGTGGTTCACCTTCTTCTCCCTCCCTCAAAATAGGTCCAGTCCCTGTCCACCTAAAATTTTACCATTAATCTTGTATGCATTGCGAATTTGGCAGCGATCAGTGAAGCTCGCCCCACTGTATTTAGCTGTACGATGATGATGATGAATTTGTCGTCATTCGGCCTACTCCGATTGCGACTTCTGGAGTGTGTTCTGTTGGTTTATTTGTTCGTGTTTTCCCGGTCATCTGGGGTCTTCATTCTTCATTCGCTGTGACCGAAATTCCGTCAGACATGCTTGTAATGCAGTTGGGACATTTGCATTTAGTTTCACTCATAATCCCTTATATCATGTAACAACTTGATGATCTTGCGCATTATTCTGCGAGTCTTGAAAACCGTTTTAGATGCAGTTCAATATGAATTCCTCATCACATTCTAGGCACCTGTCGTATGACCGCAAAAAGTACCGATCTGGTCATTGTCAAATTTGACTACAAACCAACCGATATTCATGAACTGGGCATCCAGAAAGGAGAGCGCCTCACTCTGCTGGATGATACACAGCATTGGTGGCGGGTAATGAATGCTCAAGGAGCCACGGGTTATGTTCCCAGCAATTATGTTAAACGTTCAAAACAGGTGAGTTACATCCGGTTTAATAATTGTTTCATTTACTCTGCAGGGTATATTTTCCAGTCTTCGAAACACACTGGGGCGACGAAAGAGCAGACAAGACGGTAAGTACCTCACTCATGTGTTCATCTTTAGTTCTGCCCATAATTTTCCTTATTTTGGAGGTATTCTGTGTCATTTGTGTATGTTTGAATACGTGATTATTAGTATACCTTACCGCGCTGCAGTTTTATTCCCACATAATGTTTGGCGCGATCTCCATCCATATCGGTACGTTTTTGTCTTCGGCAACGGGAAATGCATTTTGTGTAAATAAAAAAATTCTTCTCAAGTTGTTTGAATAAAGCCGTTCATGATCAAAGAATAGTTTTCTATATAATGAACTCGTCGTGTAAATGAGGCGTGACCTGCAAAGCTGGGACGCGCACCCGACCATTGATCGAGTGGGTAGTATGCTTGCGTTCTGCCTGTGAGGTCCGGGGTTCGGTCCCCAGTCTGGTCGATGGATTCGCATTGCTGATGAGGCCCAACCAGGTCGAAACAGCTGTCCAGTGCTTCCCGGCTTTTCAGCTCACACCTCATTTGCACGACGAATTCATCACATAAACAAATCGAATCCTCCATTACTCTAATGCAATAATTTTCCACCCTTAGTTAAAGTCACAATTTGTAGTTATTAGCTCCAAAGGACTGAATCGAGTTGTGCAGAGGTTAGGTTAAGTTATATCAGTTTTACTGGTGGAAGGGTGACTTTAGTCCGAGTTAACGAAAATCGTGCATTGAAATTAATTGTTGTACACTAAACGCGTTACCGTTGTACTTTCGGTTTTAGAGGCGTCCCAAGTTATCTTGCATTGATGATTGCCTTCGTTATTTGTGACGTTCTTTTTGTGCATTAAAAGTGTCACATTTGATTCTCTTCATATTAAACTAACAAATCATATCATTTTCGATGTACTTTCGTCTTCTTATTGTTTTAATGTAGTTTTGATTTCTTCGGTTCCTTCATTTTTCTTCCTCGATTCCTCCTTCATTGGAGCTAGCCGTCCCTTCGCAAGTGTTTTTCGCTCTGAAACTTCTTGGTCACGTCTGGTTCGGGGCTATCTGTCTTATTTTTCCATCTCACTATATATTTACATACATTTTCACACATGTCTGAATCCAGGCTGTGGGCCAAACAAATCATGGTACAGTAATCTTTGTGAAAACAAAGCACGTTCCATGATTTGTATGTGGGCGGAGTACTGCCAAGTTGTCCAGGCCAAGGCAGGTGAATTTTCCTGGGGGTCCACATCCGGAGGCTTTGGCTAGCCAAAGCCTGACCTACAAGGCGGCGGGGCGGTGTGCGAAAACCGCAGTCCATTGGGAGCCGGTGTCCAGTTCATCGGATCATACATCCTTCGGCCGGGGTCACACGTCCAAGGTGCCCAATGTACCTCGATCGAGCCGGTGACCATTGCCACAACCAGGAAGTTGTGTGTGGTTCGTACACCGCTTGGTTGGTTTGGAACCAGGGTTTTTGGTTAACTCCCCTAGGTGAACTACCTGTGGTCCCCCGGTGTCGTGCTCTCACTTTGGTGGGAAAATACCTCCGCCACCAGAGGGCAGTGAGTGGGGCTTCCTCAGCATTGGCTATTTGAGACGCTTGGTCGTATGAAAGCATTTCGCTAGGTGTAAGGGAAGATTGACCATCCGGAACCATAGACACCCACCTCCGACCATACTGAGGGTTTTGGAGGCAGTGTATTGGTAGGGTCGGAATCCACATGAAGATTGACTCCAGAGGAATTCAAGTCCACCGCCTTAACCACTCGGCCAACCTGTGTTCCGTGTAGTTACATTTTTCCTGAATAATCAGCGTTTACTTTCACTCAATCTCCTCGTGCTCATCTCATTATCCATTTTCACCCTATAACGTCAAGCTATTGGCTCCATACAGTTTGTCACTGTGGTTCTCTTCCAGTTGATCACGATCCTGGGGATCACTACTGCTTACTACGTATCTAATAAACCTTGTTGCATTGCAACATTTAAATTTACTTTACTGTAACTAACTTAAATATGGGATACTTACATATTTCATTCTTTCTTCCTCTGATAATCTTAGATCAAAAATAGTCAGTATGATTGACTCCTAATGGATATACCTCCCACCCATAATGCGTTCCGATTTCTTCCTAGCAATCGGGGCTTGAACGCAGATCACTGTTCATTCTGCTTGTGCTGTTATAAATGACCTTCGGGTGGAATCTGTCCCGTTGGATAATACCGCTTAACGCTAAGTAGAATGTAAAACAAAATGAACCAATATGACAGTTTTACGATATGGTCGAAGTGGTATCAATCCCATCGCCTCGTTCATCTGGTTAAAACAAAAAAGATTCGGGTTTATACGTGATACGCAACTCCTGAGGATGTAACCGCAACGATGCCTCCCAAGGCCTCAGTATGGTTGGGGGTGGGTGTCTAGGGTTGCGGCTGGTCACCCTGCCCTTGAACCTCACGAAATGCCCCCATACGACCAAGCGTCTCAAATAGCCTCTGCTGAGGAAGCCCTACTCACTGCCTTCTCGCGGCGGAGGTGTTTTCCACCAAAGTGAGAGGATGAAAAGCCGATATCCGGGGCTATAGCCGGGTTGGTGGACCACTGGCAGTTCACCTAGGGAAGTTGGCCTAAAACCCTGATTCCAAACCAACCATGAGGAGACGTACGAACCAAACCCACACCTTTTCGGTTGTGACAGTGGTCACCGGCTCGATTGGGCATTGAGGCGTATTGGGCACCTTGGACGTCTGACCCCGTCCGAAGGACGTATGATCCGATGAACTGGACACCGGCTCCCAATGGACTGCGGTTTTCGCACACCGCCCCGCTGCCTTGCGGGTCAGGCTTTGGCTAACCGAAGGCTCCGGTTGTGGATTCCTCAAGAAAATTCACCTGCCTTGGCCTGGGCAACCTGGCAGTACTCAGCCCACAAGCCAATCATGGAACATTTTTCTTTTTATAAAGATTATTGTACCATGATTTGTTTGGCACACAGTCTGTCCTCAGACAAGTGTGAAATATATATAAATATATAAAAATATATATAACCGCAACGATCGGTCGAAAGATACTGCCCGAGGGCTAGCATGTAACGATAAATCAAGCGACATTTTTCCGAGGTGCGAGACGTTTTTGCTTCCCTAGAGAACTTGGGCTTAAGTGGGCGACTGATTATCCTCGGGATTACGAAAAATTTCGTAGTCCCAGGCATTTCAACTCCCATTGCGGGTTTTCACATGGATTTTTTCTGTTCCATTTTCGTCATTGTTATTTTTCCGTCAGTTCGATGCCAAAAGATAACTGTTCATGCGTACGTAGTTCCGTGCGTTTAACACGCGCGACCGTATGTAAAATCTGGTTTAAAATGTCACCAGCCTCAGCCTGACCCGGGGGATGATCTGTCACACCACACTAATTTTGCTCAATCGCGCAATGAATGTGCATTCCTAGCAAGCCTGTGATGCTCTGTTCTCACCTTGTGCACCGTACATCACGTGAAGGTCAACTGGTGGCTAAGTACAATTAATTTCATCAAGAGTTCTTCTGACTTGGTTTTCAAAGACACGAATACGACGGTAAACAATAAAGCGTGTGATCTTGCTGTATTTTTCTTTGTCGATCATGATAATTCATTTCCCCCCTCAAATATTGATCCACTCCTTCTGTGTCACGCCTATTCATTCTTACATTGAATGACTGCGGTCTTCCAAATATTGACTACACACTTGTGCATTGTGAACACTTGTGTATCATTTATAAATGAGAACATTATGATTGTAGTTGCCATTGGGTTTACACTGCGAACTTAGTAATCCTCAGTGAAGTTTACTTCACAATATCTGATTGTACTTAGGGGGCACCATTTGATGTCTAACTTTAATATCGACAGATTGGGAAATAAATTATGCATCCCTCTTGCTTGCTTCTCACAGTTGCTCATTTCATCAAGTCCAGAATCCTGCACTGAATAGATTCTGTTTTTATTCGGATTGAAAAATATCAATATTCGTATTCAGGTTCACAATAAGGCTAAATAAATACCTGAATACCACTCTTTACGGTAACAAACGTATCATCACTACATGCATTCAACCAACTATTAATTTTTCCCGAGGTTCCCAAGCAGAAATCCAAAAACACTTCACAGAACTCAGTGCTCAAATCAGGGTTTTCACACCCCGAGTTGTAGTCTAACCCTTTTCCCGATCATTACGAGCTTTTCAGCATTAATTTCAATTTGTACGAATCATTGTGTGGTAAGCAGAAATAGGTGTTGACTCCTTAGTCACGAGGATCTGCTGTTCAATTATGGACACCGACAACCGAATCCATGGGATCTGGAGTGTTGCACAAGTGTGAGTATAAGACGCTTACCGATGATCGCCTTGCCTCGACGGTTGCCTGAGTGAATCTTCGCTCATTTCTAAACTCTGTCAGATTCTAGATTGAATAGCTTCCATTATGACCATTCTCCCGTCTCTAACATTACCTGTTTATTGCTCCTTGTGGTCTCTTTGTTGTTTCGCTATCATGTGAAAAGATTAATTCAAAATATAAAGAATGTCAATATACACTGTTACACAAAGGCAAACGTCGTTTTTGTTAGGTCTTTATAGCCCTTTTAAGGTAACTGTGGTGTCTTTCTCTTTTCAGTCCAGTCATGAATGCACTTTATTTGTCCATGGCGAAGTAAATTCCCAGCTAGCTATCATGATGCTGTAGTATTAAAAAACTGCGCAGTGGGAGATTTACACCGAATAGTATATCAATAATCTTTTTTTAGGGGGAAGCACTTTTGCACAATAAGTCAATTGAAACTGAGCATGAAAATCAAAAATCTTTCAAACTCAAGGCGAAAGGTGGAGCTTCCAGTGATTTACGTTTTGTACACTCTTCAGTTTTGTATACGTTCACTTTATTTCTTCAATCAGATAACGGTGTCGTAGCGAAACACGGCAGCGTGGAATCACTTGGTCACAAATACTCTCAACCTACACCAGCCTTGGATAGCTTCACATCGCCTGGCGGATATGGTTTAGGTGATAGCACCGGTAACTCCGGCACATTCAACCCATATTCCAATCTAGCTTCAGCCAATGCAGACGGGTCCGAGTCTATCCAACGACCAGGAGCGTCCAGTTTCGATACACCCGGGGACGAAACCCAGGAAGATCGAACCCATCCCGGTGCAGAAAACTGGGGAGGCTCCATGGGCAATCGGCATCACAGTTCCTCCCAAGTACGTGTGATTTTTTGCTTCCTGGTTTTTAATCTTGCAAACTGCCTTGAAAAGATCGGAATAGATAGATAAAAAAGAAAGGGCTTTGTTGCACTTTCAGTTAAACAACCGCATACGTGGCAGTAACCAAAAATGGAATCGCGTTTCTTTCACACACTCATGAATTCCCTGGCTCTTTAGAATCTGTTTTATAAATGTAGAAAATAAATGCTCAAGGCAACCTTTCGACAGTATTTACAATCATTGATTACTCTACAATTTTTTTCGGTGGATGTTTATGATCATTCCAACCGAAGACTTTACCAGGTTACTGACTGAATAGAACGTTTGTTCAACCGTGTGTGCTCATTGGCCATATACCGGTCACTTGTTACACATTGTGTGCACTTTTATTTATCGGATTTTGCATTCATAGTGGGCGCATATTTTGTTGTTTGTTATGGATGGCATTGTTTTACTACAGACAATGAACTATCAAACACCATCAGGCCCGTTTTATTCCTCAACCAAGAATAAGATGTGTGGTTTAGTGCGTGCATCTGGTGGTGCTACAAAGAAGTCATTTTCATAAGCAAACAATGCATTTAAAGGGAATATTGGTTCACACCAAGTGTCGTGAGAGCTGATCTTTTGCTTGAGTACTTGTGATATATATATATATATATATATATATATAAAATTAAGATAGGAGACCACGAATGCGTATATTTCTTCTGCAGTCACCAAAAGTTCCTCTCCGTTTAATGGTTTTATCTCCGCCTATTCGTTATGCGAGGAAGATTGATGCCTTGGCGATCGCTATTCTCATTTGTGCCACGATTCTCCACAGCCCCATTACCGTACTTCTTTTTTTCTTCTTATTCTTTACGTTTCCCCCGATTCGATTTTACGAACGGTTATCTGACATTGTTTTGCGCTTTGATCTCTAGGATTCATTTTTAATAAAT